GAGGAGGCCTTATTGTGTGGCTTAAGTCTTATTTATCAAGTATCACTTGTCATTGCATGTCACTTTAAGCTAAAGAAAGCGTGTGGCATAGCGATTCACACACAAAATTTCAGAAGAAAGAAATTGTCAAAGAGTCTGTTGTATCACATATTATCAGGGATTTATGACAGCTATTCATGAAGAGCAAATAACGAAATAACAGGACCCAAAATAGTTCTTTCCTAGGGAGGTAATTAATTTTTCAGCTTAACATAGGCCTGGATGCCTTTCAGTCTCTCTTTATCCAGTTATCTCCTGGACGCAAGTGCATGTTTTGACGGAGAAGCAAGCACCGTGGCACAAGTCATATCATTTACAATTCCCGCAGTTTGTCTAAGCTTTACAAAGCAAAAACAAACAAAAAAGAATCTGGTCTCATAAACGAAAAAGAGAAACAAGTTAGCCCAAGCTTCAAAAAACAGCAAAGTTTATCATGAAGCCTCTACATTTGGCAATGAAGCACTCATGTCCAAAAGTAATAACAGCTCATCAAGTCGTAAAAGTGAGACTCAAGTGGTACAAGATTGACTCAAATGATAAATGGTGAATGGTTTAACTGCTGAAACTGTAGAAAGGGGACCGGGCTAACTTTTAGGGCCTGTTTACATGGAGGAGGGGGACCCCGGGTAGGCATGGTAACCCACTTAGGTGGGGTAACCCACCTGTCCATATAATCTCTCATTTTCATTTGATCACGTTTACATGATAGGTGGGGTCACCCTTCAAGGTGGGTAGCCCGGTCTGCCACACCAGGTAACCCTCTCAGCTGAGGTCAAATTTTGCCAAGTCAACGTTTCAAGGTGAGGTAACCCAGGCTAGTCGGGGGTCGGATTTGTGATACATCAAATTCGCGAAAAATTCACTTTGGCGCCGGGTTGCTTCACATAATTATTAAAGGTAACAATAGAAAGCCACAACACTGAAGGTTGCAGCAAGAGCAGCAAGTGAGCGTAGACGTGGTTTGCCATCATTTTTCTTGTTTACGTGCTTAGCGACCATTCAATAATCTTGAGAAACCGCACCCCAGGATGGCGGGGTTGTAAGATTGCATGTAAAGGGGGGTTATTTTTTTACCCCAACTAAGCAGGTTACCTCACCTACCTGGGGTCCCCCACCTTTATGTTAACAGGCCCTAAGTCTCAGGAACCGTGAAACTGGTAATAAACGGTATACCTAACCCGGGACTAGCTGTGATACTACTTCCATCTTCAAGAACGTCGGCATAGCAGCCAAACGAGCCATTATATCGGTGTAACATGAATATTAATTTGCGGTTGTTTCGTGCGTCTTGTTTTGTGACTTTTTTGTGTTCGTTTTTGTCAGCATCTCTACATATCAATCATGTTCAAAACACTCCTACTGACAAAATATTTCGTAAAGCTCTTTAGAATGATATTCAGCGATAAAAACAAGGTGTGACCAGAAGCCGATTTCTAGGCTCCTGGTGTGGCAACATAGGCATCATTGAATGCAAAGTTTTGCAGTATGTAATCTGTCAGAAATCTGTTTGAGTGGTCAAAGTTGGGACTGATGGGCTTCTTTATCATGACCACTCTATTATTATAAGGACCAGGCCATAATTATTTTTGACCCTTGCTTTTTTTGATATTTTCTGTAATTTTCCACAGCATTATTTTGTGAAAAGCTGCTAACTGAATTGGTCTTTAGGAGTTCATGATCGTAAGACTTTGTAACCACGGGTTATTCGCCTAATTGCATGAAACACATTACATTCATTTTCATAAATGATGCATCATTGGTTGGCTAAAAGAGGCCTTGTTCCTGTAAATTTCAGCTCTTCTGAAGTTAGTTTGTTTGTAAATTGTAACGCACGCGACGACCTTCCTTTGTTTTGAAAGATAGACCTACCACTAACACTCTGGTCCAAGGGGCCTGAAGTGAGCCGCTTACAGGTGTCTAGGCATGCAGGGACCTCATACACTTCTTTTTAAGGTGATTCCCTAGTTTTGCACTGCGCATCTCGTACTGCGCATAACAAGATGGCCGCCGTAAAAAAGAGCATGTGAAGTAATATTATTAAAATGAAGTTGACTGAAGAGAAACGCTATTGGAATTTTTGCTTGCGGTTGTTTCTTGCCGAGGTGAGACTCAATGTGTTGGGAATGTGCATAACGTAAGCAGTACGCGTGTTCCTGAGTTCGACCTCCTCTCGGAGAACCTCGATAGTGGATGTTTAACTTGTGCTTAATCACTTTGATTTTTATTTAAACACTTTCTTTATCACATTGTGTCCTAAATGTGATATCTCGATGTAAATTCTGTAAAAACGGATTTTTTAATACTTTCTTCCCCCTTTCACATACATTCTATTTCGAAACTCGTCCCAGTCCTCTCTCAAAAATCGGAGAAAATGCGTTTGGTGCGCACTTTCTGCAGCTCTACCGCAAAAACGAGTACGGTGATCCTCATTTTTTATTTCATGATTTTAATAAGGACAGTGCTTCCTTTCGATGAGAAAAAAATTGGCACAAATCTATGTTCAGTTTTTTGGCAATTTTACTAAATTGTACGGATTGAGCCATCACGGGTCGAAAAGCGCGCGTCCAATTTAATTCTACTTTGGAGCGTAAAGTAAAAACAAGGGCATTAAAAGACATTTTTCTGGTACGTAAGTGCATAAACAATACATTAAAGTCAAATTCTGTGTGATATCACATGCATCATCGAAAAAATTTCTCTTTTTTGTCTAGTTTTGCGCTGCTCGCGGTTTTTGTAAAAGGGTCCTAAATAGCCGTATTTGTCAGCATTGTGACGTCAAAACGAGCACGGTGACCCCCACTTTTTATTACTTTTTTATCATCTTCTTGACTTGTTACATCAGTGTACCAAGTTTCATCTACAATCTATGTTAGGTTCTTTTACTATGGAATCACCTTAAATGCAAATGTGTAAAAAACAAAGAGTGTTAAAAATTCCTGGAGAGGCATGTTTTGCAACCTCGTCCCCAGGGCTTAATAAAAAGGTAGAAAAAACTTGAGGTCGACGGTGCGCTCCTTTTACCCCCCTCTCTCCATTAATTTTTCGTTTTAAGGGTATTTAGAGCTAGTCAAAGCTACACAGAAAGGAGAGAAGTTGAAATAAGGATGTGTTGACACCGAGGATCGAACTCGGGACCTCGCACACCGAAGGCTGCGCACTAACCAACTGTGCCACCCTTGCTCCTCCTTTTCCCCCTGAGGACGAGGTTGACATGTTTTAATCATTATCTCAAGGACAGGGTTACCAACGGAGCAAATTATAATCTAATCTTAGCTGCACAATTACAAAGTGGGCGCGTTGTCAGTTACGGTTCATGAGGTCGTTCATGTGGCATGTCAAACTTTAACGATTCTATCGTTTAGGATGTGATACATTTGAGTTTTATGTTATTGTGTGACTTCTTTGAAAGCTGGCTTTGTGATCTGTTTAAATTGATATGTAATGATATTATCACAGGCAAGTCTTTGCAGTGACACTGATAGCCGCACAGTCCGCACAGTGAACATGGCCACATTTACCGTGTGGAGACTGGGCACTAGTCAGTATTATGTACATGTAAAACTATTTTGAATAGTGTAACAAGAACTAAACATTACCAAATTAAAAACTTAAAAATTTGAAACAAAATTTTTTTAGCCAAATCAAACAAGAAGAGTACTCACCACATGGCACCCAATCTTCTATTATAGGTGAAACTTAACCCCCCTTTTATCTGTAATTAGGACCATTTGTAACGGGCACCCCCTCCAGTATTAATCGGTAGGTGCTAAGGAAGCTCTGTGCCAAATTTGACACTTTTGTCACGTCTGTAACGATCCGGCCTATATTTTGCACTAAGAGACCTGACTATAGGTGCAATCGACAGAAAAATACAAACCTCTCTGGAAATGTTCAAAACGTTTTATTCCTCCTCAGACTAACGGATGATCTGTTTTTACTCTAACATTGGTTGTTCTGAATCCAAAGTAATTTTCAAGTGACGAAAAAACAACAACAACAACAAAAACCAAAAAAAAAAAACCTTTACGGGGAGCAAACGTACGAACCTCGTGTATTTCATTCAGTCTTAGTCAGAACTCTCACAGAACGAGACAAACAAACGCAGGCGATAAGGGTGCGCAGAAGCTTGCGCAGAAATTAGCGCAGAAAGGTTTTCCGCCCTGAAAGACCAACATTGACGTCACGTAGTCTCCAGTCTATCACGCGGCCATTTCAGAAACGTGTTCGTGAAGTTTTCGGAAATGCTCGGATTTTGATCTTTTATCTTTCTATAAAGGCTTGGGGAGAAAAATCTTTACCCAAATCTCACTTAGGATGGTTGTTTTTAGCGTTTGGTGAAGGTAAAGCGACAAAATAAAATATGTCAATTTTTTGGTTCATTTGACCTTTAATTGATTTATTAAGTTACCTTGACAGCTTCGTTGTCCCCAGACCGTGAACAAAAGAGTCAGCAGTCTCTTATTTCTCGGGCTCACGCCCTCGTTTTTCGCCGCAAGCGGCTTCGCCGCTTGCGTGCTTAGGTTTTGCGTGCAGTAACTTTGCGAAGAAAATTAAGAGACTGCTCGCAGTCTACCCTCGCAGCCATTTTTGTCTCGTCACGCAGCGGTAAGTCTCTGGGATTATTTCAAAAATTTCTACCATTCATTTGAATATTATTTGACTTCTTATATGACGATGTTCTCCAAGGAAAAAACAAACACTGGAGCATTCTCCAAGAGTCTCTGCTTAATTTGCCAGGATCACTCCCGTTTTCCTCGTGAGCTTTGGTTGCAATAACATTTCCCTGCGATATTCTGTCCTGATTAGCTGACACTGGGTCCAAAGGGTGGGGAAAGCATTGTCTGGTTTAGAGGTAGGAACGCAAAACGTCCTTATTGGCGAGGATGGGGAGAGATGACTTTTTATGCAGGTTATTTTAAAATTGAGGGTTTGTGTCATAGGGTTTCACCCAGATAGCCTAGAATGAAAAGTCAGTTAACAAGCACATTCAGCCTGGTCAGTACAGAGCTTTGTCTGGCTTAGAGGTAGGACGAGGAGACTGAATTGAAATGGCCGCATTTGCAGGCTCAGTATTGATTGGTATTTATGTCATAGAATTTCACGCAAATTCAGAAGTTAGTGTAGAATGAATAATCGTTTGACAAGCACATTCTGCTTGGTCAGTTAAAAGGTTTTCAATGTTTATTCCTTTTTTTCTTTTTAGTGGGTTCTTGAAGGCTCCGCCCCTGGCACCTCGGGTTGTTACTCCCATTTATCATGTGGAGAAGCCTTCTTCAATGCGGCTAAAGACCTCTATGGCGAAAGCAAGAAAGACCTCAAAATAATGGATTTTGGCTGTGGGTCAGGACTGTCTGGTCAAGTTCTGAAGGACAAATATGGATATTATAACCTGACTGGGCTGGATGTGTCTGAAGATATGTTAAATATCGCTAGACAGAGGAACATCTACAAGACTCTTATCAGTGCCTTTGTAGGTACCGACAGAATAAAACAGATACAAGATGGTGAATATGACGCCGTTATCTCCTCTGTAGTGTTCCAAACTGGTCATGTGAGAGCCAATGCTTTGGATGAAATCACTCGCTGGATTAAGCCAGGTAATTTGTCACTACTTTGACGTCTTGTGTAAGTTGTGTATCAAGAAATCTAGAGGTAAAAGTGAGATGACCCTTTTGGAAAAATGTAATAAGCAACTGACTTCGCTTTTTTTTGTTTTTGTTTCCTCAGTTCAGTGACTTCTATTATAGATCTTAAATCCCACGCTACTCAACGTCTAAACATGCATTCACATAAAATGTAGGCTTATTTCTTGGAAATTTTGTTAAGAATTGACATTAACTTCTTTTAGAATTGAAAGCCGTGTAAATCAAGATGACCTCAAAGGGGAGCCCCGCATACCGTGGTAAAACCGTGAAATCCCTCGCTAATGCCCTGTATTTCCCGGTTATGAGGATACGGGGCTTTCCGCTATCTGACTAAAAACTTGAGGCGGTAGATGGAATAATCGTAAATTAGTATAAGAGTCAGTGAGGTTACTTTCACTCTATGCCGGATCCTCTGAGTTGTTTCGCCCGCACGAAAACCATAACGGATAGGGCTTCTGTTCTCTAATAAGAACTGAGCGCCGAGCAGCGCCGCGCTGATCTCGATAGTAGAGCGTCAAATATCGCATAGTTTCTGTGCTACACTTTGGTGGGCTGTGACCACAGGTAGCCCAAGATCGAAATATGAGCACTATCGGCGAACATCAGCATTGTTGCGTAACATTCGAAATATAAGGATTTGTATTGGGAAAAAACCTATCTATCTACAGAGAGAAAACCGTTTACAGTACGGCTCATAAAACGGCCATAAATCGGCCCATGGACCACGCAGGAGAGACTTGAGACACATTTCATGTAAGGTAAGCTGTTTTTTATTGATATCCTTTCATTTTCGTAGGTTACGGAAACGATAGGTTTTTCCCCGTACAAAGCCTTATATTTCGAATGTTATGCAACAATGCTGATGTTCGCCGATGCTTATATTTCGAGCTTGGCCTACCTGTGCTGTGGCTAGAATGGATAACCCGAAGTCAGATTGTCATCCCAGTTTACTCAACATAGATGATAGGAGTCTTATAACTTAAAGTAAGAAGAAAGCAACAGGTAGTGTGTAGGATTTGAACCCACACCATATGAAGTTTGATCCACATCCGTATCCACTACACCATTAAGGGCTAACTACCGGCGGTTACAAGGGGAAATGTGAGAGTCTGGAGAAGGAGGGAAAATGGACGCTGGTCTCCAACAAGGAAGCTTAGTACTATGGCGACAAAGCTCCTAAAGGGCGTGCCTATAAAACCTGTCGAATGCTGGTCTACAAAAAATTATAAATACTTTGTTGGCAGTGGGTGGTTTTGTTATCTTATCCTCGACCTCGAAGGGGGCGAGCGGGGAGCGTAGGATGACCAAGGTCTTGCTTAGGCAAGACAATATTTATGAGACATTTTTAATACAAATTTTGGCATACCCAGGAAACACGATTAATTCCATGAACTCTGTGTTATTAACCATGAAAGAAAACTCAAAAAATAAAATGGACCCTTCACAGTTTTTCTTATACTTATATGGACTACGGATAGAGAAAATCCACTGGCAAAGTTGTAAAGAGTGTCTTAAAATCAATGAAATTGCTAAATTTGAAAGGGATGCGTCTTAAGCGAATGAACTTATGCGTCAGCGAGGATACGAAAATTGACAGACGTTTGTTGAGAGTAAGTTTGTGGCCCTAGCCTGCATAGCACGCGCTTGGAAGTAGTGGGCGCAAGAAAGAACAGGCGCCCGTCCTTTCTTGCGCCCGCTAGTTCCAAGCGAGTGCTACGCAGGCTATTGTGCCCCCACCAAATAAACGTCTGTAAAATTTTGCAATTTTGGTGAGCTATGTCACTTTTCAACAAATCGCTTTCAAATTTGGCAATTTTGCGAATTTTAAAGGAACTCTTTCCAGCCGAGTTGACGGATTTTCGCTAACTTGTCCATGTCAAAAGTTGAAGAAACCTTGGAAAATAGATAACAGAAATAGAATACAGAAATTGGATGCGGTATTAAGTCAATCGATTGAGATACCCTATTTATGCGTTTTTAAGAAGTAGTTTAGCAAATAGACCAATTCCGATATATTAAAATTCATACTTAGTTGCGAGGCTTGGGGGAATAATAAAAAAAAGAAATCGTCTTGAGGCTCAGCAGTGAATAATACATTTCTTTTGCCTTATTCCCCAAGCCTCGGAGCCAAATTTTAAGAGACCTATTCCTCAAAATTCACCCGAGCGGCTGAATTTTTCAGTGGACACACTTTAATCTTGCACACTCACACAACAGAAAAGTTACTAGACAAATGTTTGTCACAGATGACTGCATCCATATTCCCTCAACGGCAGGTGTCTTTGCCATGTTTGAATATATTTCTTGTCTTATTGTCAGTAAAATTACTTTCATTTGAAGAACGCGTGACGAGGACCTGATCGATCGAACATCAGCTTGCGAGGTAATCCCGCGTAATCCGTCGAGCCTCGTGTTCTTTTCACGCATCAGAGTTATCATATTATCACCTGTAACGAAGCTTACAAGCACGTGGAAATTGTTTGGCTGAGTAGAATGCCGGCTAAAGACTCTCCGGCAATCTCACAAAGCGATAGCCTGTGTACAGCCGCTCCCTCCCCTCAGTAAAAAAATCTTACTGATGGGGAAGGGGCGCGGCTGTACACAGGTTAACAAAGTAACCTCATTCAACTCGAGAAGACAAAAAAACACGACATAACATTTCGTTTGAACTTTTTTTGAAAGATTTTCATTCAGGTCACTAGTATTGTTATGGAGAAAACTGAAACCACCGTATTGTTTGCCTATAGTGAGTTGTGTGTACCACTCGAACGGATGACGTCGTTTTTGTTGCGGGTTTTCCATCAAATCGCGGTCTGTTTTTCAACGAAATCGTCGCATATCAAGAATTTCGTTTTGTGGGGTTAAACGCTACTTGCGATTTCTTTGCTGTCATATGTCCCCCGACTAATGGACCTTAATTTACATTGGCAAATAAATCACACAAATTACAGCTTAGTGTAGAACAATGATGTTTTTCCAAGCATTAATGGCCTGCTTCATGGATTATCCGTCAGAGACGGGTTATCTGTTGAATAATTAACGTCAGAGAGATAATACGTCTTAATATGAAACTGGAACGGTCTTCATTTTGGATTAACATTCCGCCGGGCTTCATCCATCTGTTTTTCCGTCAAATTTGACGATTTTGAAGACAGATTATCCGTCTGTAGTGTGAAAGCGGCCAATACTTTATAGTCAAAGTTTATGCATGTTTATATACAACAAAAATTAACTTTGAAGAAAGTTAAGACTAACAAGTGTTCAAAAACCACAACTTATCTCTGACCATCCGTTTTAATTTTCCAATTTGTGCATTCTTGCCTTCTTTTGTATTTTCTATGGTTATTTTTTAGGCTGTGGCTATTATGGCCCGATAACCGGTCAAGGTCAGTCAAAACACTAAATGACCAGCAGTCCGATATTTTTATTCTATCTCTATGACAGGTTAAAGAATCCCAGCCAATCCAAACTATGATATGTTGATTGAGAAACTGATTAGGGTTAAGCCCTGAGAATAGTAATGAGGGTTTAAGCACTGACTCGAACTGATCCTATTTCAAGGTTAGGGTTGTTACTATAAACCTTCAAATCAAACCTCTCTGATTTGGGCCAAACCCAAGAATTGAGTTCGAACGGTCTACATGGTTGAAAGTTCGACCGTTTCGCCGACGAACAGTTTAAAGAATTTCATGAACCGAATCCAATACGTCAGTTATGCCAGAAGCCGATAGTTATGCTAATGATTTAACACTGTGGTTCCGTCGCATGCTGTTGTTTTTCACAGTACAGGTGCATTCAACTATAACGAACTTTATGTCATAACTTTTTCAATGGCCACGAAACTTCGAGAAAACCTACAGCTATTATTCGACCATAATAAGGAATAATGATGGTGGTAAATGTTTTTTCTTTTTCTTTTTTTACGAAATTAGCCTTTAAGTGGACCCTATTTTTTTTAAAGGAATATCACAGTTTTAATGGAAAATTTTGCTGCATGAGATGTTTTTGTTATTTAACAGTTCTTACTGATCTGATAATTTGCCAAGATCTTGACTATATATCTCGAATATATTAAAACAATAACAGATTTGCGAGCCCGTTAATTGTCTGGACTTTCGACAAACGAGCCCCTCTACGCAATCATGCTGTAAGAGACGGCAGGTTTGACGTTGAGAAGGTGGGGGTTGGGGTTGGGGAGGGATCCCTGGGAAGTTATCTCAATAATTCTTCATAAGATACTCGGCCTCATTCATTAATTGTTAAGTAATTGCTTTACAACAAATATTCACTTCTCCACTCCTCAGGAATCTGTAAGGAAATTTGGTGAGAACCACCTGTTGTGTTCTCCTGCCCTCTAGTCGTGACGTAGATGTACTGGTAGGCGTTAACGCTGCGTAAAATACAGTTAAATATCCCGCAACCGACCACCCGAAATGAGAAGGTTCAGTGTGTGAGAAAATTATTGCGTCATATGGCGGGAAAACCCGTCACGTGATCTGAGAACTGAACTTTGTGCAAGAGGAACTGTGTGGTCGTTCGGAGTCGTGGAGCTGATCGAGTGTGTAGATTAAGTGTAGATCATCGAAATTTTACGCGAATTGATGTCGATGAATTCTTTAAGTGTAGAACAGAGTACAGAATTCTAAAATATGAACATGTGAAGAAATATACTTTCAAGGGAGTGAAGAATTAAAGCTAATACAACTGTCACACATATAAATTTGTGACACAGAGGACCCAAAGGGGGTCTCTTCCTAGGAGAAGCCAGGACACTTGCAGGAAGATAATAAAAACAATCACGGAAAATTTCTTAAGCCGTCATTCAAAAAGTGGTCGCGGTCGCTGACACAGGTGGTCGTTTACGAGAGATTCCAACTGTAGTGATTTGACTGGGAATAAAAAGTTTTGTGTTTCGATGGGCGGTCGCTTACGAGAAGTAGTCTTAAATTGAGGTTTAACTGTATTTCTAACATATAAGTATCAGTTTCATCTTTTCTAGTACATTCCGCCGCAATCAAAACATAGTTGCATCACCTGTAAACATTCATGTCGCAAAATATATATATGATACACATTCCAACTCTACTTACTAGGAAACACAAAAAAGCCAAAGACCAGATAACCTGCGATTTTCTGTTGATGTCTTTGTCCCTTTGTCACTACACAGAGGGACCCCTTAACACAACTACGTAATAAGAATAAATCGCCAAAAAAGGAAGTCTTTTTGCTATTTTCGTGTAAGACGTGTAACGTTTAATGAATTAAAATGATAGAGCCATAACGCGCGTCTTTTCCAAACTCTGCTTTACGGACTGTCGCTTAATATACCGGACACATGATAATAACAAACAGTTTGCTTTGTCCCTTTGGACAGAAAGTTATTACATTTTCTATAAATTCAATCCCCTTAATACGGACACTTTCTATGTCACCCTCAGTATCCCCATTGTGCGTTTTAACGGGGTTGACTGTATTTAAATGATAGAGCTTTCTACCCTTTTCATCTTACTTAACAACTCGTGAATTCTCGGCCATTTTATATACCTCTACACTGAAAAAGGTACCCCTTTCGCGCGCGGAGAGCTGGAAGTTTACCCTTTATTTGTTGCCTGAAACCGTCCTCTGTACTTACATTGGCTTATTAGGGAGCTAGCAACAACGACGGCGACGGCCACGAAAACCTCACTTAAAGAGTGAAGTCGCGCTGCTTGAAACTTAATCGCGCTTATTCTATCCCCTTTAAAGCGTCAAATGTTGGCAATTTTTTGTCAGGAGTTGACTTCTGAAAGACTGTATAGACTGTATCGAAATTCAAGAAAAGAACTGTGTGTTCACGTCCTCCACAAAACGTGAAAAAATTAGGCATTTTCACGTTCGTAGTCGTGCAGTGACGGCAAAGAAATGCACGTGCAGAGTTGGTTTTTCCCAATCTAAAGCTATTGCTTTTTTGCGGCGTTCTTGTAGGGCTAAGCAGACGTGAGTTGCATTGTGCAAACAACTAAACGGGCAACAAAAACCTGCAATTTGTTTTGCAACATTGCTGCAAAACGAGTAGAAGAGCAATGTTGCGCGTTTTACCACCCAAGTTCAAACCCTGTCTTGCAACAAATCAGCCGGTTGTTGCAAGTTGCGCGAATACTGACTTCTGATTGGTTAGAATTACAGGGAGTCATGCCATAAACAACAATTTTGTTACTTGCTGCAAAACTGTAGTTTGCCTTGGGCTGGTAAAACGCCCAACATGTGCAGATTTTGCTGCAGAAAATAGGACTTCTCTTTACTTCTCGTGAAAAAAGTTTTCACAATCTGCAACAATCTAATTAGTTGCAAGACAGGTTTGATTCGTGAAAAATCGCTATTCAACTCATATTGCAGCGATGTTGCAAAACAAGTTGCACGTTTTCGTTGACCGTTTTACTGTCAGTACCTTTACCGACGCTTGTCACAGTTCAAAACTGGTTAGTAAGTTGAACTGGTATTTGTTTTGTGGCTGCAGAAGACATGGCAGAAAATGGAGACGCAGCGTGTTTCTATCCCCAGGAAATCCTTGACCTCAACTGGAACACTACTTCCAAAGAGAGAATCCAAAAGGCTTATAAAGTATGGTCTGTGTGCTACGATAAGGTACTGTTTTGGGGCGTAAGTAAGCATTCAATTATACGAGACGTTTGCGAACTTAGACAGGGTGTGATAACTAAAGACTGGCCGGGTGTCAGAGAGCACTATACTTTTCCATCACCAACTATACTGTGGTTTCAGATTAGTCCAACTTCTTTCGGGAACTATGTCTACTACAATAGTTTACTTCCGGGATTTCAGGCCGACGAAGGGAAGGGACATATGGAAGCTATACGTGATGGGCCGGCACCCAAAGGAGCCCCAAAGGTGATCAAAATGGGATTGGGTATACGCTCAGGTTCATAGGCTCCTGGTACGCCATAAAAGTTTTCTCTGTCGTGTATAAGTTGTTTCACTCATCTTGAATGCAGCAATGATATTACAACTAGCACAAGGATCCTAGGCCTAGGCACACATGCTCAATCTCCTTGTTAACTGCTTAGTCATATTAAATAGTCCGATTAGATGGCTGTGACAGGTCTACACTGAGCTGCGCCGTGAAGCAGTGGTCTAAAAATTTTGAAAAGTGTTCTAATGCAGTGGCGGATCCAGGGGGGGCCGGAGGGCCCTGCTCCCCCTTATTTTTAGACCAAACTGAGGCCCGAAGGGCCGAAAAAAACGTTTTTTAAAACCGGCCCCCCTTATCCCAGGGTCTGGATGACCGGCCCCCCCTTATCGGAAGGTCTGAATCCGCCACTGTTAAATGGTCATACTCTATTGACGCTCTATTGACGAGTGTATAATCTGCTACTATTCGAAGCTAAAGAGATGGATATGTTGTCATTTGAATTTGTATGATCGTCTGGGTTAAAGCAGAATAACTCCATGCAAGTATTTTGTTTTTGTTCCAGGTCTGTTTATATATTTGCCGTATGATTTTTTTACTTCCCAAACCTCTCCCAAAAAAATCAACAAGATCATTCCTCGAGTGGCCAACTCTAGTTATAGACTCTTTTTCCAGGGTTCCTGAGGTTTTTGGCTCACGGGAACATGAACTTTATTTGCTTGTCTTGATTATGTCTTCTATTTCAGAGGGAGCCCACTGCAAAACTTTCTTTTTTTTTCCGGCCTTTTCACATTGTCCTCAGACATCTGTTACACTTTTTGCATTTGTAGGTCAAGACGTAGATGTTATTCAGTTCGAAATTGTTGCTGGGGTATTACATAAATTTTGTTTCGTTTCGCTGAATATCATACCGTAAATCCTCTACTGTGGGCTTTTTTTTCCAAGCACCTTCTAAGGGGGGGGGGGGGCTTAATAGGGAGGGGGCTTAGAAGATGGCATTAATTCTCCATAAAGAAATAGAACGCAAAGTAAATAAGCTCAGGCACATGAGGTTGGACTTCATGCACACGAACCAAAAAAAAAAAAGAATTCGAAAAAAGCCATATGCCCGATCAGTCATGGTGGTGATTAATTACTACAGTCTTTCATTTAAGAATACGGAGGGAGGAGAGGGATCTTAATAACTTTCTACTCCTAAAAAAGGGGGAAAGCCTATAAGAGAGGCCGGCATATTTGAGAGGGGGGCTCAGAGTGATTTTACTTGAACCGTGAAACAGATGCTAACAAATAGTGCAAAATAGCGACAGGTAAACAATATAGAAGACAATAAAATTATTTCACGGTTCTAGTAAAATCACTCTAATAGAGGATTTACGGTCTTTTATTACGGCTTTTTTGTAACTTAATTTTTTTGTGATCACCTAATTCATTTGCGTTTGTTTCTTATTATAGTGGTGAGCTGTGCAGTGCGATCTTTAAGATGTAGCTGCATAGTTGTGTAAAGAATGAATAAAGCAGTACCGCTGTTGTTTTCCAATTTCATTGACAATTTATTATAATGGAATTTTGGGACAAGGTATCATTGTATAAGTGAACCAGCTTTAAAATAGAAATTTATCTTTTCTTGATATACTATTAACTATATGTTTGTATGCAATACCATTGAATTCGATCAGTTCTTATAATGTTAAGGAGTTTTGTAACCACAATATATTATAAATGTATATCTCAATACATGATGCAGATCTGTTTTTAATCACGAGAGCTCTGCTTGTAACAGTACTCAGTCAGTCATACATGTACTTGACCATTATATTCTTAAAGATTCTTACTATATGTTTATCCATTACCAATAGTATTAATTCCGATTCGTTTATTGTTCTAGGGACCCTTTTAGTACGAAAGTGTTCAATCAGACATGAAGTCAGTGCGGATTGATATGAGCTTCTTGAGATTAACGGTTTTTACCTTCATGAGAAAACATATTTTAAGATTTTCGCCCATAGTTCCTCTCTTATCTTTAGGGAGTATCAGTATTCCGTTGTGGTATGAGAACATCAGTGTAAGCGGATAGTCAAACAATTTGTATTTTGCTGCTTTTGCAAGATTCAGTCATGCATATAAGTTTATTACCGACTTGACCATTGATTCCTGAGCACGAAACTTGTCAGACTTGTCTCTTGCATCTTAACTGTTGCCAGTTGAAGTTGACTTGTGTTGTCTGCCGGTATGATGTCCTCATCTTTGTCGATTTTTGAATGTGTTGTGAGACATTTCATGGTCCGGTTTTGACATAAACTTTGATTCGATCGATTGTTTTGAAATGGGCATTTCCATCCGGATTCTTTTAAAGATGTAGGGTTTTTATAGGCTCACTACGTGATCGAACTTTTTCCCCTAGTTTTTTTGGGAAGGTAAATATAAGACTAAGAACTTCTAAAAAGAATTTTTTTCAAGATTTTTATCTACAATGAAGAGAACCCGTAATTCCTCCTGGGTAATCAGGATGACGCTATTTTGTTTTTTCTCGACTTACTAAGTAAAACGTATATTTTGACTGTGCGATGCCACAGGTAACCCAATAAGCAAACCTTACTTTAGAGTGAAACAAAATTAGTTTTACCTTCATTCCTGTTTTTTCTTTTTAGTGGGTCTTTGAAGGTTCTGCTCCAGGCTCCCCAGGTTGCCTCGCTCACTCATCATGCGGTGAAGGCTTCTTCAACGCGGCTAAAGACCTCTATGGTGAAAGCAAGAAAGACCTCAAAATATTGGATTTGGGTTGTGGGACAGGCCTGTCAGGTCAAGTTCTGAAGGAAAAATACGGATATGACAATCTGGTTGGACTGGATGTGTCTGAAGACATGCTAAATATCGCGCGAGAGAGGAACATCTACAAGACTCTTATCAGCGCTTTTGTGACTACTGAGAAAATAGAAGACATACAAGATGGTGAATATGACGCTGTTATCTCCTCCGGCGTGATTACAACTGGGCTTGTTAGGCCCAGTGCTTTTGATGAAATCTTACGCTGGATTAAGCCAGGTTAGTTAGCGAACAGGCTAAGGCTGTACTGGCTTCTCTCTTGGGCAGAAAAACAGCAGAGACCGGGAATCTATAACTTGATTCTAGCTTTTGATTCCTCGTGCTTAGGCCTCTTTGGGGTCTTCTCCACACGTCAAACCGTGAACGTTACTAGCGCTCTCACAAGATCTCACCACATTCTTAGCCATAATTTGAATTGAGAGTTTTTCGGCTGCAAAACAATCCGTATTTTTGCGTATTCACGTACGCGCGAACAGTCAAACGAAGGGTCATGGGCGAGGCTGAAAACAGAGAGCAAGACTCAACGCCCATGGGCATGGGCGTGTGAGGCTCGCGCGGCTTGTGTAGCCTGCAAAGCAGGCGTATTCTGCAGCGCGATCCATGACTTTTTTTTTTCAGAAATGACGTTTTCCCGCCGTCTTGGACGTTAATACTACCAGAGAGTTGGGATGAGTCAAAAACTGATATCAAGGGAGAGGTTGATGGGTATAAAATAGAGGTGGGGGAGGGGAGGAAAAAATACAAAAAATATTTCATCCTCTCTCCTCCCCGCCCCTTCCCCCCTTTCCCGCCCCTCCTCCCTAAGTCTTTTCCTTGGCTTTTCAAGATGGCGGCTGCGATCAATGTAACTCTGAGTTTCCGTTAAAAAAAGCCTGCTGTGAAAGCTAGGCTCTCGCGGCTCTAAGGCTATTCTTACGCTACGCCAAACCAATTTTGAAAAAAAAAATAACCGACTGTTTTGCAGCCTAAGAGTTTTGAGTAAGATGCTCTTAATGAGAAGAAATAATCAGCGAACAAATATTAGGAGAGTAAATGAGATTAACTAATCCGCAAATTAATAATGGTAATTGAACTAAGTGGAGTGCAATTTGGTCTGAAATCATACGCGTGATTTCAAAATCGAACTTGAAATCACAAGTATGATTTCAGACCAAAATTGCACGACACGAAGTTCAATTACCACTTTATTACATCCATTTTGAAATCGCAGAATTTAGTCAGTACTAATATTTTATTGATCGAGTAGCCGGTTTGTTAAAAAGCCGAAACAAAAAGGCTTTTACATCTCATTTTGTATTTGAAACAGAAATGATGCAATATATAGAACAAAAATGGTGCGTTTTAAAACAGAAATGATGCGATTTAGAACATGAATGACGTGAGTTGGAACAGATGCGATTTAGCGCAAAAAATGGTGCGATTTAGGAATAAATCACACTGCTGAGAGCCAATCAGATTGCACGGATAGCCAGTGATTTCAAAGTGGATGTAATAAAAAGTCCTATTTTTGCAGTTGCAGGTTGGGGCGTGACTAGCCATGGACAGCTGTTTCGCCCTTATTGGGGTTTATCAGCATTCCATAGCCGTCGGACCTCTGTACGGATAAAGTCGTCTTCAGAGGTCCTTCACTGCTGAGGAGAGTGCAAAGCACTCCTCTAAGCGCCAACTCCACACAACACATGTGGGAGCTGTCGACGGCTATGCCACGCTTATAAGCCCCAATAAGAGCGAAACAGCTGTCCATGGCTGCCACTGCCCGGGTGATATGGCGGTGCGCATGCGTGAGGTACTGGCCAGGCCTTGGGTTTGGGTTAGTGTATGTGTGCCCCTTGCTTTAAGTTTGTCTTGCTTATTCCGTGAGTTTTAATTGAATTGTCATTTTTCTGTTCCTTACAGGTGGTATCATGTGTTTCACCTGTCCAGTGTTTGACAGAGAGGAAGACGGTTACAAGGCAAAATGTGAAAGCCTGGAAAAAGAAGGAAAATGGACACTGCACACAAACAAGGAGGCTGATTACTATGGCGACAAACTTCCTCGTGGGCGTGGCTATAAAACCTGTCGATTGCTGGTCTACAAAAAAGTGTAAACGTACTACTCAGCAGCTTTGTAACCTTTGTTTTTTCTGCGATGATTTTAGTTCAATAAAAATAAGGAAGGAAAATGAATCAGTGCACGTGCGAGTTTTGACTAGGGAAG